GGCGCCGGCTCACTTTGCTAATGTTCGGTTTGTAGTTGACAGGTGAGAGGACACCCTTTTAAATGCTGGCATGGAGCTTCAACAATTCGTGTACATTCGGACTTATTTGCAGTGGGCGTTGTTGCGGAGCCTTTTGTCATGCAACATTTGCGTGTACATTGGAACACATTTGCAGTTGCACCGGAGCTGAAAGTTGTGATTCTTGGATCGAAACGTGTACATTGATTTTGATTCCGCGGATAAAGACCGATGTACACTTTCCATGTACAGGTTTCACTATGCAAAGGCTGGATCCGAAGTGCACAAGTGCGGCCCCTCGAATTGCCCGGAGAGTTACGCGGCCCTTCACTGGGTAAATACATCGGCCGTGGAGTCAGTCAACAGCTTTCTCAAGGATTTTAGGAGTCTGGGGTGGTATTCAGGGCTTGACAACCTCATGGTAATCTTGCCTCTGTTGCTCGACGGCTATAATAGCTCTTTGAGACGAGTCGACGACGCGAAGCTTAGCATCGCAATTGTGGCGGGCGTGTGGACAATTAAAATGCGCTCCGTACTATTGCGAGGATAGGGTAGGTGTCTTGCAAAGAGTCAATAGGATGGCAGCGCGTTTCTGATCCTGACTTCAAAAAGCAACGTGGTGGTAGCTGGTGTAGAAAAGTCTGGTAGACGATAGCAATTTGGAGGCGAGAGGGTTAGGTGATCGGTAGAAACGCTTTTGAGGTAGGTGGGTAGGTGGTAGACGGCTTTTTTGTTTGCCAGAGACAAATGTTTTGCGCTTTCAATGGCACAAAAAGACAATTGCTATAGTGTATATTATAATACATACCTACCTACTTTTATTATATTATAAGCATGAAATAAACCTAAAACGAACAATCTTTAGGCACCTACCTTCACCTACCGCACCTACCTTTCCGCTCCACTTGCTCAAGTACGGTGGAGCTACGTTTGGACTTCTTCGCGCCGGGTGCTAACCTGAAAGGACCACTAGACTAGCATTGCCTCAAGCTAATTCCTCGATATCCGGTCGTGTTACGCCTGCGAATCTTGATTTGCTTTACAAATGTGATGCCTGTAACGCCGTCCATTAGCGCTTTGAACTCGGTGACCATCATAGGGCGATCTCGTCTTCCGATGTAATTCTCAAACGCTTGCTTGAGAACATCCACATGGGCCACCTTCTTCTCACCTTTGATGCAATGATCGGCAATGAAGTTGTTGAGATGATCGTTGGCTTCCACATAGCCCTTGAGAGCATCTTGCATATCCTGAGGTAGCTCTTCAACCAGCGGCAAACTCCCCCTCTTGTACCACGCCATGCTTCCTCGCACGAGCCAAGCAAGCATTTGCTTCCTCCATTCCGGACTTTCAATCTTCTCAGAAAGTTGATAGTCGATCAAGCGCTCGTTTGTATCGGGCTTCGGCCGTTCGACAAACTCACGCTTGAAGGGAAACACGCGAAGCTTCTTCAGTGTGCCGATATCCTTGACGTCGAACCTCGGAAGCGAGTTCGTGCAGATGATTGGTAGACAACGGCACGTGATCTCGACCGGTTGCTTGTGCAACCCTGGTACGCTCATACCTCCTTCACCAGACGAGATGGATTTGAGATTGGAACCGTTGTAGACGTCTTCTGGCTTTGTCTCTTCTAAAACGGCAATGTGCGCACCCTCGAGCTTCAAGAGATGCGGTGTAGCGGCACCTTCTGACCTCACACCAACCCCAATCACGCAGTCGCGATCCATTGTGCAGAAATACGATCGAATTGATGCCTTAACAAGAGCATTAAGTTTTGTCTTGCCCGAATTTGATGGCCCGTAGCAGATGACAAATTGCTTCTCTCTTGAATGTCCGGTGATGCCATAGCCAAGCGTCATTTGTAGAACCTCAATGATTTCCGGGGTTTGAATCTGCAACATGAATTCATTGATTAACGGTGATGGATAGTCGGGTCCGACATACTCTGTGTCGGTCTCTCTCGAAAGCATGTTGCTTGGATGATGTGGTATGAGCTTGCCTGTTGGTAGATGGATTGCGCCAGAGGTGGTGTTTAGATAGTCGCGATTTGCATTGAGCTCTTTGGCAAAGCCATCAAGCTTCAACATAGATTTCAAAGGAGTCAAGCATCGGGTCGCAATTGGCACCGATTCAACGTCAGGGCCCGGCCATTTAGCGCATTGATCGGCGTCCTTCTCTGAAGCTCTGAAAGTTCTCATGATGGCCGTCTCGGCGGTCCTTTTGGATCATCCTCAGCGGCTGTCCATCTTTGCATTGAGGAGCTTTGCCAAGCTGGCGTCCCGTGTGCGTTCTGCCTCAAAAATCTTCTCATGACCTTCATTTGCGATGCGCTTCATCCAAAAGGCTTTCACCTTCCCCATGTGGCACATGAAAGCGCTCTTTATTAGAGCCGCTTCCGAATCGCATGCAATCCACGATCTTCCGTCCCAAATCCAGAAGCTTCCCGCGTCATACACAATTCGTCTGTCATGCTGGAACAACCCGACAAAGATTGAGGCGGCACCATAGTCGCTCCGACACACCATGCTCTTCATGAACGCCGTCGGCAATCGTGCTTCGAGATTGCGCTCGCAAGTAATCCTCTGATCTTCAATCCCAAACTCGTCCGTGGATGCCTGCTCGAGAGCAGCTGAGATGCTCAACTCTCCAAGGAGTCTCGTGTTGTCATCTTGACAAGCCGTGCCAAAACAGTGGTAGTATACCTTTTGAAAGTCTCCTGCACAACCTTGAATCACTGTGAAGTTGTTCGATCCATGGTGCTCTTTTCCAAGATAGCAAGTCCTTGGGCCGTGCACACGAAATTGAAAGCAACGATTGCCTTCTGGGAGTATCGTTAAGCCTCCAAAGTGCGCGCTGCCATCTTCCTTTGTCTTTGTTTGGAGCAGAATTTGTACTTCTTTGACAGCTGTTGATCTTTCATGGGACCCGCCGACTGCTGAGGTTGCCGGTAGAGAATTGGTGCCATCGCGCTCCACCAACGGTTCGTGACTTGCACCTTGTTCTCTTTTGCCACTCGCAACCGCGCATTCGCCGGCATTGTTGTTCACCAATTTGGTGAGCCATTGAGGCATATCTTGACATGCATTGTAGCTTGGTGGACCATTCAGCCACTCGTACGTCTTTAGTTTACCTTGACCATCAACGTACCTTGACGGTTGGGCAAATATCACCCCTCCAACGCCACGACCATCGACCCCAAAAACCTTGCCGTCGACCTTCATAGTCTCAAAGTTGCGTGTGCGTTTGAGGCCCGGAGAATTGGCCTTGAAGTAGTAATGCAATCCTCCCGATCCGCTCTTTGCTTTTAGTGTGTTTGGTTCTCCATGGATAGCAACAAGCCGATTCCAAAGTTCGGTTCCCGGCTCCTTTGTGTTATCGCTCGTGACATCAATATCAATTCCCATGATGCCGCTAGCCTCTGTCAATATCGCAATTCCATTTGCATCTCGAAAATCTTGCATCGTTTCATTTATGGCCGCCTCCCACGACTCTCGAGTCGTGATATGCGCCCACTTTGGAAATTGAGCAGCTTTTTTGGCTTTTGCAAGTTCGATTATCTTTCCCTCGGCATCCTTTTTGTCCTTACCGTAATCCCAGTACATGCGTATCGGTATAGCAAACAGGCCGACCTCACACAGGCGTTGGATCTCGTCTCTGATGGCTTTAGGCCCTAGGGCTCTGACCTCCTTGGCGGCCTGCGGTCCTGGGGCGCTGGCTTGGACAACGGGGAGCGCGGCCATGATGTCTACACTCGTGTAAGGAAAAAATGGGACCCATTTAAACGCGCTCCCCAAATATCCGCATTCTTTGACCAAATATTTTCGAAGCTTAGTTGTAGGGCATCATCATGGTCCAGAGCAATACAGAGTCTTTGAATGAAGACGACACCCATGTATGCCGTTGCCGAGTATGTGAAACAAGCCGTGCGTACCGGAAGGAGCATCACAAACAGCACGCACAGATTGTTAAAAGGTACTACAATCGCAACAGAGAGAGCATCCTCATGCAAAAAGCTTACAAACGTTTCATTTCCGGCACCACCAAACGACTGCACAAACAGACATTGGTTCGTTTACAAGATGCCGGCTTCGACGTCTCTCGAATAGCCTCAATAGACACGCTGGAAAGTCTCGAAGCACCAATCGTTCCGTTGAGCTCATTCACAGCAGGTATCCAAGTGTCTTAAGTGTCAATGCGAAGCGTTCAGAATTGAATACGCGACCCGTCGGATCGATAGCGGAGCTCGTAGTGGCGCATCGCTATTGGTGCTGTGTGCAACATTGACTTCGCAAGCTGGTCTCGTTCATAGAGGCTTGGCGCATCCTTCGCATTGCTAATCGTGATCTTCCGAAGGAGGCACGAACCCAGATTTGAATCAGGATAGATGGCCGCTAAAAATTTTGTGAGGTAACCGGACCCCATTGGAGCATCTGGTGTCCTCATTCGGCTGAGCAGGTACTTTCGCGGGAAGATAGCAAGACTTTCAGCAATCACGTTGCCAAGTCGGACCGGTATGTCAAGAATATGCGGCCCGTGTGTCTTGTCGGTCTTGTACGTCTTCAGATGGAGCCTATAGCTGCCCTTTGCATACTCCAGAAGGTAGTTGCGGGATCCCGCCATCAGCTCACGCGCGGCAGTGCTACCAACCTCTTCGAAGCGCACGATGGGAAGATTGCTCCAATCATTGCGGATCGCCGGCATTTGTGTGTACAAACAGAGCACGAGGTAGCGGCAGAGCGTCACTTTGTCTCCAACTGTGATCTCTTCCGGCTTTTTTGGCGCGATGGATCGATTGACTTTTCGCTGAAGCTCGATGCGGCGTTGATTGATCTCGTCCAACGACTTCCAATTCTTGGCCTCACGCTCTGACATATGCTGGGGTGGCCGAGCGTCTTCCATGGCCTTTCTAACGGCAGTGTATCTCTTGAACAAAGCCTCGTAGATCCGTTGGTCGCTTGGCCAGAGCTTTCGTACGATTACCAAGAGAGGACTGATGCTCGTGGCTTGTGTTGGCAACTTGTCCGAATACATGCTATCCAGATACTCTATGATTTTGGTCGTATCCCGCACCCACTCGAGTGACTCAAAATCATCTCTTGGAGCATGCAGGCTTTTGAAGAGTCGCATCACCCGAGCACAATATTGGTCGATAGTGTATGGCTTTCGTGTTGAATCATCAAAAACGTCATGGAGTAGCCGTTCAGCTGACGTCGAGGTTCTTATAACCTTTGTGTTGGCATCTAAAGCTGCCATGCCCTGAGTATCTTGATACAAAGAAAAGAAAGATGAACGGCATCTGGCCGCGAAGGGCTCAGATACCGAATCTTCGTGTTCATCTTTCTTTTCATCATTTTGATGCGCCTAGGAGCTTTTCATAGTTATCTTGCACGCAAAAGCTTCTAAAACCCGGGTAAGGGGGGCCTTCAAACCTCTTGTATCGGCCGATAACCGAGTATTGCCAGATACACGAATATGGGTGTACACAATTTCTATAACAAAGCCTTTTCAGCAATTCAGTATCTGGGAGAGGCATCACGGTGAGGATTCGGTGGCATTGCGAACCTTGTCGGGATTTGCAAGCGACTGTAAATCCAAGATTGGTGCATCACTCCACACCATACTAGGGGCATATCTAGGACTCGATGGAGAACTGGCTTCAACATTCGTGCAACCGGTCGGAGGAATTGACTCTCGTTCCTGAGCGTGAGTCGCGAGCCGTAGTTCTTTCAGCCGCAGCTTCGTTGCTTGACGTTGAGCCCGAGACGCGTTCTTAAGAGCAACCCGCCAGCTCACTTTCACAGCAAATGGTCCGTGTATGCCGCTTCGTACCCAATATGAGTGAAAACCTTCAGCATTTAGGGATCGCACAAGCGCTCTCGTGATATGACGCAGGTCGAAGGGTTCTGCAAGGGCGCGGATTCCTGCTAGAGCCGCTGGGTCAAGAATCGTTTCAAGCAACCCAAACTCTCGATAAGATCTTGCTATCGCGGTCTTGGCACTCCCAAAAACAGCTCGATCCATCTGCTCAATCGCAAAGGTGGTTGGAGGACGATAGCCCAAAATTGCGTCCATTCAAGTCAATGTTTTACGGTGCACCAAGAAAAAAGGAATACACCATTTCCAAGGTGTGGTCATACGTCAGGCTGGCCATCCCGGCCACTTAAAAGCATTTGGCAAACAAGTTTGGCGATGCGACGATACACAGATGGGCAGGTGGTTTTAACCCCCCTCTATAGTCATAAATGTGCCACTCCGAATTTGGAAATACTTTTTAAAGTTGCTCTCCATCCGTGTATATGCGCAAGAACACCATCAATTACACACCCCGCTCTTGCTTTCTTGAGGGTATGGAGTTGAGATAACATTGATATTATACGATATTGCAGAGAGATGCGATTGTGTCCGGTC